CACAGAAGCAGTCGTCGGCAGCGTTTCAGGGACGGTGTCGGCAGGGGGGCGGCCGGCCTCTGCGTCGCCAGCTCCCAACGCCAACGTCGATTGCGCCAAGACGGCCAGAAGCTCCGCGGAGAGCACCGCATCAGTCATACAGCATGTTGGGCAGCCCGTCGCCACCTCTGCAAAACACAGCAATAAGGTGGCCAAATCCTGTGGCCAGGAAGCCAACTTCAAGGCTAGTGAGACCACTCTGGCCGCCAGCCCCATCTTCCTGCCGCCCAACGAGGCGTTTCGCTCCCCGCCTCTGCCCTACCCCAGGAGTTACCTCCCGTACCCAGTGCCGGAGGGGATAGCCATCAGCCCTCTGTCCATCCACGGCAAAGGACACGTGTATCCGCACCCTGTCTTGCTGCCCAATGGCAGCCTCTACCCTGGCCACCTGGCTCCCAAACCCGGCCTCCCCTACAGCCTGCCGGCGGGGCGGGGAGAGTTCATGACTTACCAGGACGCCCTGGGAATGGGGATGGTGCACCCCATGCTGCTGCAGCATTCGGCTTTGGAGATCAATAAGGAGGAGAAGGTGGAGAGGAGGTCGCGTTCTCACGAGAGGGTCCGCTACGAGGACCCGGCTTTGCGGAACCGGTTGCCCGAGCTCTTGGAGAGCAGCGGGAAGATGCATTTCGAAGTACCCAGCGACAAGAGCGTGAAATTGCACCAGAGCTCTGGCCACAGTAAAAACTCAGCCAAAAGTGACAAACACCTCTTCCCGGATCTTCTGCGAGACGAGCAAGAGACTAAAAGCGAAGCAAACGCAACAAAAGCCAGCTTCGCTGTGGAAAGCAGTAATCAGGCTAATGACCCTACAAAGCACAAGGTAGAGCAGACGTCGCAGCACAGAGATTTTATTGTAATGAGAGAGGAGTTTGGAAGAAATAATGATCTTCACGAAACCTATAATTTCAAGCCAGCCCAGAGTTCATCGGTGTTTGGCTTAAGGAAAGAAGATTTATCGGTGAGCCAGCCTAAAGAGAGAGTGACGGTCCAGCCTTCGCCTGCTTTCTTGGAAAGTGTTCACGAGAGCGATGCTCCAGCTCTGGCTTTTGGCAAGGTGCAGGACGACACGAAGCCATTCTGCATGGGGACCGCGCCACCGAGCATCGACGCCAGCCAGACCTATACCAAAGATGGAGCCGACGACGCAGAATCTGCCGACGGCAAGATACTGAAACCCAAGCCGTCTAAGTTGGCCAAGAGGATCGCAAACTCCGCCGGTTACGTAGGTGATCGATTCAAGTGTGTGACGACCGAACTGTACGCAGACTCCAGCCAGCTCAGCCGGGAGCAGCGGGCGTTGCAGGGTCCAACGACCGCCGCGCTTTTTATCGTTACTTCTCTGTTGCGAGTTGCAGTCAAGTATTAAAGTTGAGAGAAGCAACGCAGGTGGGGAAATGAGAAATTTTTCGTCAGGGCGTACTCGCAAGAGACAGTTTTAAGTAGCAAAGTAAGTTTGTTAGTGAGAGTGAGGCGATGTAAAGAACAGTATGTATGGCTTTTACGTATGTACGCGCTAGTAAGCTTTAAAAGGGATCTTCTGCTAAGATCTGATAGAAATGTTAACGTACGTATGAAATGTTTGTGCTGTTGCGGAGGGGAGTCGGACAGGCGTGCATGTTACCTTGGCGCTAGCGGTGGCTGTAATTTCTCAGCTGGCCTGCAGTGCCAGCTAGCACAGCGTACCCAGAGTTGTGATTAGTATGCCAAACGTGCCGTTTCATGGAGAGGAGTCTCAGCCACGCATTAGCGGGTCTCAGGCACCGTTTGCGCCAAGCGAACGCGTAGGAAAGAGTAGGAGCGGTATTGAGGTTGATGCTGAGGGATGTCAGACAGATACTGTATAGGAATATCCTTAAGGTATTTTACTTTTAATGAAGGGATGAGTTAAGCCAAATTGTTTTGCATTGTTAAGAAAAGAATTGGTTTATGCTTATAAAAATGGATGAAATTATCTAAATGATCCATTGAGTGCCCATTTTAATTACATAGATGGAAGGATTACAAGAGGACAGTATTTTATGTCTACCTGCTGCTTACTGTGAGGTCAGTTCTTCAAATTTTTATTACTAGACTCTTACATAAACCTTTGAGTTAAATTTCATTTCCAAATACACAAAGGGAAGTTTGTGGGCCATGGTCGTCCTTATTCATTGTACAGTTTTGTGTTGTGTTTTTTGTTTTGTTTTTGTTTCTGTTTTTTTTTGTTTGTTGTTTCTTTTTACCTCCAGAACGGAATGTTTTTTGTTTTATATACAGTATACATTTATATATATCCTATATATATATATTTATATTT